AAGCAGGGCGAAGCATTCTTCAGCTACTCCATATGCACGCCTCGAGCATGTGAACAAAGCTGCCCACCTCCTTGTCACCGTGGAGGATAGCTCCGCAAGAAGGGAACTGGGCAGCATTGTTGTCTGCTTGACGCGGCTCTGTTCGTGCTAGGACCAGTTGTTCAAAGCACGATACTGAGCAGTTTCACGCCTGCAGGCTTCAGGGAAGCAAGTCCTTCTTCCCTGCTTCATCTCTCTCGGATAAAATGCGAATGGGCAAACTGAAACATCAACCCTGACGGCACTATCAACCCTAACTGGTCTCCTCGGAGCTCAGGCCAAATTTCAATTGAAATTTCTCCCACGGAGTATTACGCCGAAACTTAAGCGCAGCTCTTGAACTGGACATTTTTTTTAATTTTTCACTACGGTAACTACTATATATCCCAGTCACGCGACGCCACTAGCAGCCTCACTTCCACCATCCCGCCGCAATTCGGATCTCCTGACCCTGCTATCGAGACGTTGGACTGCGCGCATAATCAGTGGGTTCCACCTTAGCTATCTGCTAAACTTATCTAGACCGCTATTCCGCTTACATTTCATTTACATATAGTTAATAGCTCTCGTATTATATACATGACAAGCTTGATAAGATCTGATAAGCTTAATTAGAACTCATACACAGTAATCTACTTCTGTAGGGAGGGTGCGAATCCCATTCGCTTCTGTCCAATGTCGTAGATGTTGCAGAATTGACGGATGAAGGGATCGCCAAGAATCCATGATGGACCAAAACCGCCAAATTCGAACGGGAAGATGGCGAAGAGGCACTTGTTATTTCCAGCCTGAAGTAGGAAAACGTTAGCTCCACACTAGCAAGAAAAGAAAGTACTGCGCTACTTGTCAATAGGGAGCAAGGGAAGGGTCGTCGAAGGCGCTTGGAATAATACCCTTTTTCGAAAGCAGTCTGCAAGTAGGAGGGGGTAGAACTATGAGGAAGCTCTGGGAGAGCTCGAGCCCTGGCGTCCTCCCATCTGCATTACAGAGCTTGTACAGTTTTTGAGGTTTTGAAGCTGACTTTTATATACAAAAGCAACGCTGGACGCAGGCGAGCCAGTTGGCTAGGAATGCTGTTTGGCGAGCGATGCCGCACCTTGGTCGCAAGATCCTTCTCACAGTGAGGAAAAACCCACTTTGGCAGGAGCTCTAACCCCCCCCCCCTTCCCTCGTTATGTCTGCCATGAAGCCAACGTCTGTCAAGAATAATACCATAAAGATATCAGCTGCGCTGCCACTAAGTGAATAAATAGTGCAGCTGAAACGGGAAAAAACGGAAACTTCTTGTTCGTCCCGAAATTCCCATACCTATGTTCTTTAATTGGGATTCCAGCGAGAGCGATTGCCCACGAGCACGGACTGCGATTATTCTTGGATAAATGGCGCAGTTCGGCTTGATGGGGGCAACAAATGGTACTCAGCAAAGCTTTTACAGGTCACCTTGTGGAAACATGTGAACTCTTGTTACCAAACTTGCTCACTTGTACCACTACGCAGCTTCTCAAGCGTCCACAGGTTTCTCCAAAATGATTACTGTTACTTAACATGAACCGGGAAAAAATTACTAGCGAAAGTGCAAAAAGCCCCTCACAACTCGAACTGCGACGAATGCGTTTCTAGTCGCGGCTACTCAAGTGGGAATGTTTCACCTGTGGTCACAAAGCACGTATTTGGTTGTGAAACACGCTAACGATGTAGTTGACGGGGTCGATTGAGTAGACTTTGCCTCCGATGGTGATGTCAATCTTGGCTGGCTTAGCATTACAGGCGATGGTGTAGGACTCCTCGAGAATGCTGTACTGAAATGACGTCAGTTCGGATTACTCAGTCAA